ATAGGGAACGTGAGCTGGGTTTAGACCGTCGTGAGACAGGTTAGTTTTACCCTACTGATTGAGGGTTATCGTAACAGTAATTCAACTTAGTACGAGAGGAACTGTTGATTCGTGTAATTGGTCTTGGCCGTTGTCCAACAGGGCAGTGCGGCGAAGCTACCACACGCTAGATAATGGCTGAACGCCTCTAAGCCAGAATCTGTGCTGGAAGCGATGATGTTGGTCCCGCTGATATGAAATGAGTAGAAATAAGGCATCTCTGATGCTTGTGTACCATAGCTGGCGAGGGAGGGGCAGTGGACGGAAAGGTCTGCTGTCTACCTCGTGAATTGCAATACCAATATGAGCGGGGAAAAATCTCTTGCAGACGACTTGAATGGGAAGGGGGTGCTGTAAGCAGTAGAGTGGCCTTGTTGCTACGATCTGCTGAGGCTCAGCCCTATCTTCCACGATTTGTTTGGATATTCCAAACTTTCTTTTGGGGGGTGCCAATGTGAGATCGGCTGTCTCTACATGTATGGGTCTTTTTTTTCAAAGGGGTCAGTCAGCCTTTGCCTCGCGCGACTTGCTGGACTTTGGACATTTTCGATTTTCGACTTTTCCAAAGGGGTCAGTCAGCCTTTGCCTCGCGCGACTTGGCTGGACTTTTGGACATTTTCGATTTTTCGACTTTTCCAAAGGGGTCAGTCAGCCTTTGCCTCGCGCGACTTGGCTGGACTTTTGGACATTTTCGATTTTCGACTTTTCCAAAGGGTCAGCCTTTGCCTCGCGCACAACTTTTGGAAAAAGTCCAAGTCGGCAGGCGGCCTGGGCAGGGCTGCACTCAAGTATGTTCTTTTTGAGTTTTCACTTTTGTTAGACCAACAATGGTGCTGCACTTGCCATGACCAAGACAACAGTGTGTGTTCCTAGTGTTAATTGTAGTTTCGTATCTGAGCTCATTGAGTTACACTCTGGACTGGCCGAGTGTGTGTTCATATCCGTGTAATTTCATCATGAGTCCCACATTCGGCCGGCCGGCCGTGCCAGGCAACTCCCTGCCGAGTTCATCCAAAAAGGGCAGGCCATACAGGGCCTGCATTTTGGAGTCACCTTTTTTTCGACATTTTTTGACTTTTTCGACAAAGTACTTCAGAGTGTGCTGACCAACTCAAAGTGGGATCGTCGAAAAAGTCGAGATTTTCGACGCGTCCGATGCGCAATGTTAGACCGCCCTTGAGCACACCGCGCCAGACACTTTTTCGACTTTACGCGCGCGCGCATCGACGTGTTAGATCCTCGCAACTTCTTGACTTTTCGACTTTTTTGCGCGCGCGCACATTGACATGTAGATCAGCGCGACTTTTTTTTAACTTTTTTTTTTGGAATTTTCGCGCGCGTGAGAATGTTAGACCCTGACGAATAACATCTGCAAAAGGGTCCGAAATTCCGTTTTGGCGCGCAAGGGTCCAAAAAAAGCGCGAGCACCCCACCCTGTGCTGGGAGAGAATTTCCAGGTCCCCTTTTGGACCAGTTCCACAGACTCCCCTGCCCTGGGATATACGAAGAGGAGTAAATAGCTCAACGACGAAATGGAAAGTGCAAGCAGCTTAGGCAGCAAGCATCTGTACAAATCGGCGGCAACTGTGAACTTCTCTTTTCCTCCTTTCAGATTGAAGTCGCTTGCCTTCGGGCTTGCTTGATGTCTCTGGGGAAATCTTGGCTTGGTTCTCACAGGCTCTGCTGTGCCGTTTCATCACCACTCGAGCGAGCTCGTGGTGAGGACTCGAAACAGTTTTGACTGCTAGAACCAAAGTTCGGATGTGTTGTGTTCCAAAAAACCGGGGAACCTCACCTCGCATAGAGTTCTCCGCTTAGGCGTATCGACGAACCAGGCGAATAGTGTGGAGCCCACGCCTGCTGATCCTTTTTGTGGTTGAACGGTAGAGGCGAAAAACATTAAAGTCGGGAAAGTCTTTTTAGTTTTCCTCGCAATGGCGAATGAGGTGAACATCCTTGCCGATGGCTAGTCCCTAAAGCATTATGTAACACCAAATTCACTCGGAGGTGCGGACGCTTTGGAGTTTTTTCTTTATGGAATCAACAAAATCGCATCTAGCCTCCACCAAGGGGGGCCTAAGCTACGTTTTGTCGGTCCATTTGAACAGGCAACTGTTTCGAAACTTTCAAACACGTATGCTGGTTTTCATTCCAGAGCAAAGTGGAATCGGAAGAGATAGGAGGAATTCGTCCTGACCTTCCGTCCTGCTAGGGCATTTCGGTGCCCAAGCGAGACTGAGGTGAAGCGATTTCCAGCTTTCTCTGCGTTTTTCATTTAAACGCAGTGACTGCTAACGCTTTTGTGAAAAACACGGTCAGCCGAGCCTCTCCTCTTGCCTTTTTCGAAGGGAAAGGGGTGGGGCAAAGCTGATTCGGCTTTCTGAAGCTTGGCCTTGTTTCGCGCGAGGTCTTGCAGTGGGAAGTCGGAAAGAATTAGTTACCTGGTTGATTCTGCCAGTAG